TCCCCAAATTCTCGTAACAATTCGATCAAGGGCGCCCTCATGTGTTCAGGAGCCTGTGCCGACACTCGTACCTGCCTGTCCAGGCGCCCTTCTTCGATCGGTACCATGAACTCATCATCCATAGGCTCCGCTCTAGGCGCATCCTCCGACCGAACGTCTATGTTGTTTACTCTGTGTCTCCGTGCGCCCTTCCTTCTTCCTTCCTCTTCTCGCGCATAGCGGGGGGCACCTTCTCCTCGCGAAATTCCTATGCCTTGTGGGGCGACGAACTTCAACGTTTGGTGGCAAGTCGAGGCTACCCCATTGAATAACGCCAACAGTGGTCTTCCCAGTATGACATTGTACGGCGAGGGGCAATCCACTATCCCAAATTCCACGGCATGTGTCACTCGGTGCACTTCGTCGCCCAAGGTTACCGGGAGGCGCACGCGCCCGATCACATGGGCAGGCGCCCCAGAAAACCCTATAAGCACCGAATCGGAGGGGCTCACCAATTCCGGCGCTAGCTGCATGCGCTCGAACGTGCTTTTGAACAAAACATCCATCGAACTTCCCGTATCCACCAACATCCTCTTGACCTTACACCCTGCAATGATTCCCTGGATCTCCAAAGCTTCCTCCGAAGGCACCTGACATGCTTCCTCTGCCTCCTGATTAAAGCATATTTGCACCGCCGCCTTCGCCTCCACGGATGCGGCCCGGAGGCGCCTAGACCGGTCCAACTTGTCCCGCAAATCGACGGTCCCGGTTATGGATTCTACCGTGAGCCTAACCCGGTTGGGTTCCCCTTCCTGATTCAGCTCGAATGGAGGCGGGGGTATTTCAAGTGGAGGAGGGTAGGCCTCCGGCGCCGGGAGGTTACCAGGCGCCTGTTGCACGACGGGAGGAGCGGGCGCTTTAGGTTCAGCCACCACAGCAGGCGCTGGCCTCGCCTCTCTTGTGACATACGCGCGGTGCGTCCTCTCTTCCGTCTTCCTTATGAAGTCGTTGAGCATGCCTCGTTCGGCTAACGTCTGCAACTCCGATTTCAGTTGGTAGCAATTGGCCGTATGATGCCCCTTATCCCGGTGAAAGTCACAATATCGATCAAGGTTCCGCTCGTTTGGTTGTCCACGCATAGGTCCCGGCCAACGCACATGGTATCCTCTGTCCTTCACATATTGCAGAATATTTTTCAGAGAGTCGTTATATTCCGTGAAATTTCCCACACTCCTGGGTTGCGGGCGCTGACCATCCATCCTCCTTTGCGGAGCGTTGTTCATAATGAATGGCCTAGGCGCCTGGCGCACCTCTACTTCTTCTCTACCCACACGCCTCTTCTCTGCCCTCCTAGCAGCCAATGTTTCTTCCAAGGCAATAACCTTCTGAACCCTTCGATCCAGATCTTCAGTCGACACTACCGCCCTCTTAGACAGTACCCGACACAACTCATCACTATTCGTGCACTCCTCCAGACACACTCCCAAGACTGGCGGTTGCACATCTTTCACAGCCATGGCGACCGAAATCCAGCGGTCATAGAACTCTCTAAGCGCCTCACCTTCTCTCTGCTTGATTTTAAACAAAGCGCCTATAGTTAACGTCCGCCTCTTACGGCTAGCAAACTTGGACAAGAATAGCTCTGCAAATTGCTCAAAGCACTCGATGCGCCCCTCCTCCAACTGATGATACCAATCTAAAACTACCCCTGCGAAGGTCGAGGGAAACACCTTACACAACGTGGCGTCAGTGCTATTATACAATTGCATCTTCGTGAAGTAGCTATTCAGATGATCTTCGGGGTCAGTGACCCCATCATAGCTGGTCAGCGGCGGGAGTGTAGTTCCCGCTGGCTCCATTAACACGCTTGGCGCTAGGGGTTGCCTGATCCCGAAGCGCCTGGCCTGACGCTTGGGCGTCCATGGGTTCTGCTCGTCCTGGGCCGGGATGGTCCACTCGCCTGGCGCTCTCCACACGCCCGGGCGCCTAGGTGGTGTTACCTCAGGATTGTGGCTCTCATAGCCCGGGCGCCCGTACTCGCTAACCTCCGAATCATCTATGAGCCTGTCCCGCTTCCTCACCGGGGGGCTGTACTCCCTTGTATCAACGCTCCTTCCTCCTTCCAATTCCCTTCGAAGCATTGCTATAGCTCGGTCTTGATCAGCGATAATCTTGAACAGCTCCCTCTTCGACACCGTATCACTCTCCATAGATGGGCGCTCGCGGCTCTCGTCCTCTGCGTCCATGCTCACAACCGGGCTCGATCTCCGCTCACTCCCCTCCTGACTGGAATTCTCCGTTCTCGCATCCTCAGCGCCTACACTTCCAACATTCAAGTCTTCCATCTTTCTTATCTTGCCGAACGCCCCCTACCTGGCGCGCCAATTGTTGATGCCGTGATACTCTCACACCCTCGAGATTCTTCCACTTGCTCCGCGCCTGGCGCTTGGACCCTGCAGGACGGGCGCCGGGAGGGCTAGACCCGTCCGTTAGCACTCCGACGATCAAGTCAGAAGCTATTCTAGAGAGAGAAGTGAAGAAAGAAGTTTAGTGTGAGAAAGACCAACCTGCTTAAATGCTACCTACCAAGTGCTATTTATACTACTCGAGCTCCTCGACCAAGCTCCGACCAACTCCTGCCACCAAGACTTACGTCAGCCTAGCATTAAATGCTCGGTCTCCCCTGGCGCCTACGCGCCTACACGTGGCATACCGTCCATTTTCCACGTCGGGGCGCATAGGGGGACCACTGGCCTCGTGGCGCCCTTCTGACCTCGTCCACCTGTACTCCCTTGTCTGCGAGCCTATTTTGTCGTCATGCGCCCCTGCTCCTTCATAGTCACCTAGGTCATACTCTTATGGGCCATAAATGGGCTTCAGGCCCAACAGGCTCCTAACTTTCATGAGCTCCTTTCCACTATCCCAACAAGGTCCAATGGGCTCTTAACTTTCATGGGCTCCTCTCTACTACCCCAACAGTTTCCTTTTCAATTTATTGTTATTTTATTTTAAGTAGAATGTTTGCTCCGGACAAAATGTGGTGTCTACAACTGCTAAACCTGCAAGGCCCAATTCCTCTAGTTTTGCTTTTTTGCGCATCCATCAATGTCCTTGCAAGTGCATTATTCTAGTTGGGCTGCACCTTGTGCGAAATTGATCTATTTTTTTTCAACCTAATGGACCCGAATGCAGAAAATAGCAATTTGTTTAGGTGGTTGAAGTAATATAAGTGTGCAATAGTTAGCAGTTGTTATTAAAGTGTATTGTACAGTGTTAAGAAATCAAGAGAATTTTTGCCTTGACTTTGTAGTCTAGCGATATTTGGAACCTATCGTTGTTGAAGTTTGAAACCCTAGCTTGATCACCCAAGAAGCGAGGATAGTGCAATATGCAATGATTCTTTGAAAAGGTTAAGAAAATTGTTCGATTTCAGAGTTCTTGCGAGTTTATTTAGATCTGAAGTTGTTTGTGGGAGGAGCAAAAATCTTAACAAAATTGCAGAGAATTTGAGTTGGAATACGAACCGTCTCTCTCAGTTCCTTTTGTTGCAGGAATTTCAGAGGAGGCGCGAGGGAGTAGTTGTCAAATTAGCTTTTTCGAATTGCTAGAGAGATTGTTAAATTACCATTTTGCCCCTCCGTGTAATTATTACCCTTATTTGGCGGTTACATATTAATTGTGGTGCACGGCAGATTAGGAGGTTATGCAAAGTTATAGTCCACAAGGTTGTGGACATGAGCTGCTCTGGTGAAGTTTAACTACCCAATTTTTTTTGTTAAAATTTTCGGAATGGGATTAGGTGCTAACCTGTTAAGAGGTTAGCACCATGCTAACTTGTTTAAGAGCCATTAGATTAGAATGATAATTCTAAGGTCAGAATTAACTAAAAGATATTTTAGTAATATTACTTCTAACCCTAATACATAACCTCTCTTACCACCACTCTCCACTCAATGCTGCCTCTCATCTTTTCCTCTTTCTACACCAACCATCTCTCCCCTCTCCCCTCTATCTACATGAACCATCTTGGTGCGGCGACGGAAACATCAACGAGAGGCCCTAAGAGACATGCAATGATGGCGGGCGGCGACAGGAGAAGAATGGTAGCCGGAGATAGCGATGGAGGAGGCAGGCAGTGACGATGATGGTGGAGGCATGCGGCGATGAGAGAAGAAGGTGCGTTGATGGCGCGTGTCGACGTCTTTTTCTTCATTATCTGGATCGCCGTCGGCGTAGAGAGAGGTAATTTCGAATCTGCCTTCCCCCTATGCTCGTCGATGCCCCAGTGCAACAGATCTGGGGCCACCATCGATCAAATCCAAACACCGATGTATGGAGCAGTTGAGGGGAACAACAAGATTAGTCTGGGGCATGTCTTTGCAACATTGCTAAGGCGGGGATGATTTTTTGGAGCAGGCTGAAGTGTTCTTCGGCTGTGGGCGATTACGTGTTGGGGTGGGCCGACTTGCTGGGATCATGCAGGCCGAGGAGGAAAGAGACTTTGAATATATGTAGTAATTATATATTGGTAGTGATTTGTATGTAGTAATTGTGTATTAGTAGTGATTTTTATTATAATGTGTTGCGTTTTTTACAAATATTAGTAGTTGTTGACTTGTTTGTATGGTCATAGTAATATTTTCGTTCTTAGTGTCAATAGTTATATGAAAAGCACTACCGAACAGTATAAAAACATTACTATCAACCCCAAATCATTTATCGATTTTAATTAAACCTTCTTAAATCACTACTACTAACAATAAAATCACTACTATCAGCTAAAACCGCTACTAATTTAAGAAGTAATGAATTTACTGTAATTTTTATGGGCCGAAAATGACTAACAAAAGAAGAAGAGTGAAAATATATTTTAGATTTTAATTAATTAATTATGTTAAATTTTTTGAAATACCAAACACACCCTTCATTTATTCATTAATAACCACCGTTAGATTTGACTTAACAAAATAGATGGTGATTAGAATAGTTAGTATGGTGCTAAAAGTTAGCACTCTAACTTTCTCCCAAAATTTTCATTTCCTTTGTGGAGGCGGAGGGATAAGTCAGTCAGAGTCACGCTCGTAGCAAATGTGGGCGGGCCGACCAACAGGCAGAAAAGAAAAGCCCACGAGTCAGTAGAGCTGCTGCCAAAATGCTAACCAGCTCGCTCGCTAACGAGGACCGAATGGATAAGAGAAAGTCTCTTCTGCTAGTGCTAAAGCAGAAGCTCCTCTTTAGACATATTTTCCGGACAGACAACATTACACTACGGATCCAACTACCTCAGACAAATTCACTTCTTCACTCGAAAGATTGATGATGATGATAAGATTGACATCACCAACTTTCGTCCCGTCTGCAGCTTGCCAGACCCAACAACAACGCTTGCGTCACAACAGCAGCAGCAGCAGAATAAAGCCTGCGAACCAGCAGCAGCAGCTCAAGGATGGTAAGAGGAAGGTCGGGAGAAGAACAGCAGTACTATTACTGTGTGCAACAGTGACGTCTTTGGTAACGCAGAAGAAGCAAGAAGCAAGTGGGTCGGGCATGGACTGGGAGCAGATGTTGAAGTCTTCGGGCCCTTCGGCGCCAACGCTGGAAGAGGCCGTCACTGGGATCAGAGGCCACGCCCGGTCGCTGCTGGAAGTGAAAGGGTTGCTGTTGGAACAGGACTCGTGGAGTGAAGCTCAGAGGCTGCTCAGAAAGAGCTCCTCAAACCTCAAGATCGACCTGTCCTCCATCATCCAGAGCAAGCCTCCTGCTCTCCGCCCGCGCCTCAGGGCACTCTACTCGGCACTCTTCACCACCGTCAGCAGAGTAAGCAGAGCGAGGTTTCCCCATCTCCATTTTTGTTTTGTTTCTGCCTTTGGTTTCCCCTAGCTGCTAGTGACTGATCCATGGATTCCCATCTTGAAATTGCAGCTAGACTACGCAGCCAGGGAGAGAGATGTCGCCTTGGTTTGGCAGTTGTATGAGAGGATGGCTGTGGCCCTTGAGGAGGTTTTGTCCGCAATCTGATGAGCGAGGTCGAGGTTTACCAACAACAACGTCGTCGCTACCACTGTATATGCAAAGTTATCAAACGCATTATTTATTCCTACCCTTTTATTAAGAAAAGTTACCCAATGCGGATTTCAAAAGATATAGCCTGTCTATCCAGAACAACACAACTTTCCTTTGCTTGGATGCCAAGAAAGGAAAGATCACGTGCCCAGAGAACAAACAATAAACACTCAAAAGGATTTAATTCGGTTGGACTACAAAAGTTAGGTTTTCTTCTAACCGTTCATACAAGTTTAGCTTATTATTCATTTTACAAGAATTGACGCAGGCTGTCCAATACCCTTTCTCTACTCTTCAAAAGTTCAAACCTCACCACTACCGTCGTCTTCTACCCCAAACAACAACAAAAAAGAAAGCATCCAAAACTTCTCACTAAGACCTCCAAATACGCAGCAGCAGTTGCTAATTGGAGCAGAAACAGCCTTTTTGAAGGGAACTTTGACTGTTAATTAAGGCCCAGTGACCCCAGGAAAGAGCTCCGATATCTTGTTGAAGACATCCATCACCTGCAAAACCAGAAACAGCACACTGTCAAATTAGCATTGTCATTTCATGCATTTTGGTGCAACGTCACAAGCTTCCTTGGAGGTGCAAACTCGCGCAGAAACCGGTAAGCGGTCGACGTTACCTCCTTGTCGTTCTGATATTTCGCTATGCTCATTGGGTTTTGCGAACACTGCAACACCGAACAATAAAAGGTACAAAAAATGGTTATTTCCAGAGCCCAAGATTAGCGAGTAAACAGAGCCAGAGTAGAATAATCAGAATCATCTGGAACGTACATCCATGATCGCTTGTTGCACTCTTGGGTTTTGAAATGCCATAGCAACATCAGGATTGGCCATGATCTTCGAGATTACCTCTTCAGGTGTAAGCCCAATTTGATCTGCCATAAGTTGTATTGCATTGTGAGATTTCAGAAGAAATGGGACAACTTCAGGATGAATCTCAAACAACTTTCCTGATTTACAAGACTTTCCAAGCTGACAGAACCCAACAAGATGTAAATGCAAAATTAGAACTTACCAAACTGCTGCTTAACCTCAGGACTATCGAGATCGAAACTTTTCAAGGAATCCAACATACGTGTGTCCCATTCGTTGCTTCCACCCATATTGTTTCTGAAAAAACACATAAAATGAAGCACAGTTTACATTTCCACATTCCACTCATCAGTAAGGCTGCCACCATATGGAATTCCTACTGAAAAAATTGTATAAAATGACAAAAATTCTGTACCATACAACACTACACAAGACAGAAGAAGCTATCTAAGATGTTTGCAAAGCTTGCGCATAGGTGTTATGTTCCAGAATATGTGTGAATTTTGCAAATCTAACCACAAATAGAAATAAATAAATCCAAATGAGCATACCCAAAGTTCAAATAACCAAATCAATTCATAAACAAAAGCTAACATCAAACACTTCTTCAGCAAAAAGAGACATGTCTTGCAGCAACACTTATGGAGCAAATAAAATTTACAATCCAAACTTCTTCAATAAAGGCTTACAGCATGTCTTGCAGTTGCTGGCGGTACTGTGGATTTTGTAGCATCCCTGTTGAACAAGATATCAGAATAAATAAAATTTTGGAAGAGCACAAGGTTCAGGATCCACTAAATGCATATAAAGCTTTTGGTGAACTAGGAAAGACAAAATCACTTGAAGTCCATCACTTAATAGTACTTATGCTTGGTCTGAAGTTGATCGAATATTTTTAAATTGTGTAACTTCATCAGAAAGGATTGGTGACATCCGCACTTTTAATTAGTTGACTCACATTTAAAAGTGGTAGGATTTCGCATCTCCTCGGGTAAGTATCTGCAAAGATACAATGAGATTAAACCTAGTGAGCTAGAAACAAAGTCGATGCCAAAACTTGAAGGAAAAGAATCCTGGCAAAAAGAAGCATAACACAATGATGGATGATGTTTTTATATTTGAATAATCCACAATGGTAGATGAGCAACTGCGTTTTGGGGAAACAATCTTACGGATAAACCATTTGTTGTACAGTTGGATCTTCCATCATTTTCTCCAAAGCATCGACCGATATAGTTGGACCTGCCCCTGATGAAGATGAAAATGTTCATTTAGATATGTAAATTGTTAGTGAAATGACATTGAAAAAAACAGCAAAATGATGACACTTTCCATAGTGCCAAATCATCAGCATCAAATAGTTGAATATGGCGGTGATCCTCATACTGACCTTAATCATTCTGACTACCTCATAGCGTTAAAAGGACTATGGAAGTTTCTATCATTTATTTAAAATATTATTTAGTTTCAAGTAAGTTTTCAAAGAAAAAAATTATTGTTTTCTCCAAGATTACAAACAAGGTAGAAATCAGAAGTTTCCAATTACTTATCAGTGCCAATGCCAGATCTCAAATTTATAGAAGTATATAATCAGACATAGCTTTAAAAACAAAACAATTGAAACTGTGTAAACCAAAGGGAAAAGCAATCTCACAAACAAGACCATTGGTAATGAGACTACTCTTACTTACTAGTAGATTGAGAGCCCTCAGTCGCACCTGCATCCTGCTTAAAAGCAGCTCCGTTTTGAGAAGGCTACATAAAAAGCTAAGAACATTAAGTCCTGCCACAATTTAGAAGCAGAGCGTAGTCAGATCTGCAACAATAAAGACCTACTTCAAATGGGGCATCCTTTAAGGAGCTTGTCTCATTGACATCATCAGCACTTCCAAAAGGAGTCTTCACTAAGGTTTCTTGATCTTCCGGAGAAATATCCACAAAAGCTGAAAACAACAAAGATAAGAACCTCTTACAGATACTGTCACAGTGTCAAGTATAAATCTCAAAGGTTGAATGCTGTGAAGTTGTTGAGACATATTGTCTTTCTGAAGTAGTACAACAAAATGAGCAAGCCATCTTAAAGCTAGCTAAACCCCCTAAGATTCACACAACATAGCCTTCAGCTTCAGTTGGAGTCACTGAATAAACACGGACCACACCAGATAGCAACCACGTAAACAAAAAGTTCTCCATAAATCACAAAAAGAGAGTAAAATGGTATTCTGGAGAAGCATGCTGCATTTACAGCCAGAAATGGTATCAATTATGTCGTTTTTAAAACACCTGCAAGATAATATCATTACGAGGATATATCAACAGTTCATATGACAATTGGCTAGGTTCAAACTCGTTCCCGGTTTGCAGAAGGAAGCCAAATTCAATAACACAACAAAAAAATGAAACTATTAGGTGACTAGTTACTTATCTATCAAGTTTCAAAGACTTGAAGATTTAACTAGGTATGTGGTTGAAGTTAGAGAAAACGTGCAAAAGGGCCGGCTATTCAGATTGACGATAACGAAATAACCATATAGTACAATCACCATGTTGTAATAAGCTTTTCCTGAGGAGATGCAAGCAATTAGCAAAAGGAAATCAGACTATACATAGCCATAAATTTGCTGTGGTTCACAAGGACAAGGGACGGTCAACTAATAGTCTGAGTGCACTACACATCCAAGCAACAGTACATTAAAAATTAAGGAAATGGTGGCACAACCCTAAAAGAATGTAATTGAGCGTATGAGAAAAAATTTCTCTTACCGTATTTATTTTTATCCTCATTGGTCTCGACATCATTACTCACATTAGTGGCTGAAGACTGTTCAACCTTAGTTGCAGAAACATCCACGCTCGCCCTTGGTTGAGAAACAGTAGGAGGTGGTGGGGTAGCAACCTCAGCTGCCGAGGATGCAGAAAATGAAGGTGCAGCAGGCCAAGATGGTGATGATGTTGCACGTGAATGTGAGGTATCAGGCCCAGAAGTTGTAGGCATTGGGAATTGGAATGGCGAAATGGGAACGTTGCCAAATTGGTTATTTTGAGTATTCATCTGGTTCATCATAGTTTTCATAGCTTGCTGCATTGCGTATTTCTGGAGATACCGAAAAACAGGAAATATTGAGAGTTTAGTGATGTGCCACATTATTCTGTTTAGATTGGTACCACATCAGAATTGCATACGAGGAAGCTACAAAAAATGATGTTCCATCCAAGACTTTTATCTGTCATTCCAAGCAGCATCCATTAATTCTTAAACAGAAGGACAATATAGAAAAGGAAAGGGGAAATTTGCTGACTTTACACGAAACAGATTTCACATGACATAACGATTTTAATAATTGGTAGTATTAAGCTTTGAGAATAGACACAGAGTTAACGAAAAGCCAAAGACTAATGGAACAGAACAGCTACGACAGCAGGAACTGAGAACAGCCTAACCTCGACTATAGCTCTGTGCAATATGTTCCAGTTGTTAGGGTAGCATCACATTAAGAAAAATAGACAGAGCCTTAGCTTGGCACTTGATGTTTGCTGTTGTCTGAGGTGTATCATGAATTCATTTTAAAACAATTGAATAGAATTCCTGGATTGCTGAAGGCAACAGCTCTGTCTCACATAGCTGTTCTCCTCCTCCGTTTACTTTAAGTATTAGTTCAAAAACTTTATACACATTTTTAAATTACAAGATATTTACTCTTTCTCATTCCAACTAAGTAAAGAAAGACAACACCCCAAGACTATAATCAGTTTCCCCTACATCCAGTAATTAAGAAACCAAAGAACCTGCTTTTTTCTACAGTAAAGGAAGATAAACTGAGAATTAAGAGTTTATGAAAGAAATAGGATTCCAAGATGAGAAACCAAAAAGGTACATGCAAACCATTATAGTACCAAACCAACTCCCCTTGCTAGAGCTAGTGAAATGAAAACAGTAAACAACAACAGAGACTTCTGTAACCCTTACCCAATGTGTCCAGTATCACCTCCATATCATCTCGGGTTCTGTACATAACCTAAGATAAACTTAGCTTTTCCTAGAAAAGCAATTAATTTGCCCACTTTTACGTACAATGGAGAACACGGTAACTGTTTTAATATTAGCGTAGCAAGAATGATGGCACATCTATGCTCCAGTTAAATTGGAATTGTTTAACAGAAAGTGTAAAATTAAAGAAGTTTCAAAATAGTCCCAGCTTGTTATGAAAACTGCAATGTTTACGCTAGTAGATAAGAAAATATCTTAATCTTCCTCTCCTTGTCTGTGTTAGAGATCCATGTTGCTGACCCCCCAGGATGAAGCTAGGACTGTTTCCAGCATAATCCCCAGTTTTGAACTACTGTTGACATCAGTCACCAAGTATTGAGATTTAGACAAAGATATCAAAGAGACTTTACTTTACACCAATTCCAACTGGAGCAATGGGAACTAAGCCATACAGTAATGAACAAGCATACACCGAACTCCAATTTTCCTATTAGCTTTAGTAACATTTAATCATCTAGAGGTAATTATAAAGCACGTCCATCAATCAGATGAAGGTCCAATTAGTTTTTCAGTTTCACAACAGTATAGGATTCTACCTACTTCTTCCAGCATCGAAGGATTCTTATATTTCGGTGGTCCTATGTAGTATCCATTGGATTAATTTGTATAGAAAAAAATATACACTTCTCTCATGGTACAATCCTCTTATCGCTGAGCCCCTCTTTCCTCGGTCCACGAAGACCAAATGTAGGACTGGTGTCAACAGTTCATCAGGGAAGAAAGGATTCACTGAGCCGGAATCACTAACTAAGATTAATCGAATACTAATAGAATAGAAAAGAACTGTCTTTTCTCTATACTTTTCCCGGTTCCGTTCTTACCGTGTGTTTTACGCAATCGATTGGATCATATAGATATCCCTCATAAGGGCATGTTCAGTTGAGGATGAAATGTTAAGCGCTTGTTAGACTATAGTCCTAAAGTGATTCCCATACTGGTAAGATAATAAAATCAGTACTGAAGGATTCCTTTCCCTGAAATGCCACACCATCAAAGCCAGTAAAATCCGCATAGGAAGCAAAGGTAATAAGACTTCCCATTACGAGGTACTAATATTGATGCTTCAAAACATAAACCACAAAAAACAAACAAAAAGATTATATACTCAAACTGCTTATGAATTATGTATACCTTATAAATCAAGAAAACTCACCTTCAAGTATGATGCCACCTGTAATTCAGTCAAACTAGTTAAAAACCCACTCTAGCAATGAAGAGTTCATAAAGCTGCATCAAAATTGTAACTTTTTTCTTACCCATGAAAAAACCGCAGAGAAAGCAACACCAACTCCGACCCAAAAGAGAGGCGACCCACTGCAAAGGAGGGGAAAAGGTGAGAAAGGTCAAAACTATTATAAGCAACATAAGCGATATGCAAAAGCCCCAGCCAATTAACCCATAGGACCTGCTTCACCGTTTCCCTTATCTCTCTTGGCCTGAAAACAGTAGAGTAGAACAAGACAGGGAAAACTGAAAGCTGAAGAATGTAGAGTATACTTACACTTGTGAAGGAGGGGTAGGCACTGGCTGTGAGCTAACACCAACAGAAGATGTCTGCTGACCACGCGACGACGAGGAAATGCTAGCCAATAAGCTAGCCCCAAATTTTCCTGCCCCACCAAGAATGGCAAGCAGACCGAACGAAGTCATTAGTGGGAATGAAGAAGGAACAAGAATCTATAGGATGTTAGGCATCCACAATTCACATGCGGCTCGCAGGATTGGATCATGTAAACGAGCAGAGATAAGTAGCAAGAACTCAAAACAACGACTACTTAAACATAGAAGAAAAAATTGGGATAGAATACCATGTCTGGAAGTAGTAGAACGAGCAGCCTCCGGTTGCGACTGCGGAGGGGGTGCAGAGCTGCTGGAGGAGGCGGCGATGGGAATTCTGGAATGGTGTGGGAGAATCCGACAATTACGGAGGTGGAAGGGAAGGGTTCTTCTAGGGTTTTGGAGTGAAGTGGGATTCCCGATAACCAATTTCGGAGAACAAGAAGAGGAGGAGGAGAGCAGCGCCATGTTTAAGTTATGCATACTGGTTGTATACAAATGGAACAAGGAGAGTGAGTAGAAAGAGACGATATATTTCCGGTGCGGAAGGTTTTTGCTTTTGCAGTCTCGAAAGGAAGGTTGAAGTCGGGCGCACTTTCCATGGGGAGTGAGAGAGAGACGGGAAAGTGATTCGGTTGGTTAGGTAGATTGAGCCGCCCAGCCACTTGGGTTTGGTTTTTTTATAGGGTAAATTGTAAGTTTGGTCACTATAATTACTAAATTGTTTCACGTTGTAACAAAAATATTTTATTTTGGTCACTGAATTAGCTCAACAGCTCATTGTGGTAATTGGTAGCTTTTTTATGTCAGTCTCTGTTAACAGCATGAGTTTTTTTCTGACATGGCTAACAAAAGTGTTTAATGACAACCAATTTATATGAAACGTCATTAAAACCCATCACATAAGATAACTCAACTCAACCTATGACCCGACCCTATACTCTATCCCAAGACTCTTATTTCGTCTCCGTCCTCCAACAATGACTGCAATCTCGACATCCCACGACACAGACAACTCGTGAGCTCTCTTCGACAGCCCAATCCTCCGCTTTAAGAACTTCACCTGCCAATTGGTCGCGTTCTCTCTCCTCCTTAGTTCCACTTTTCCCCTCAACATCGATGTCTAGCTAGCTAGCTATTTCATACATAAAAAATCTAAGCTCGAGTCAAACTCATAGTGAACCCTAAGAAACAAACCACTTTTCACCTGCCAATTGGTCGCGTTCTCTCTCCTCCTTATTTCCACTTTTCCCCTCAACATCGATGTCTAGCTAGCTATTTCATACATAAAAAATCTAAGCTCGAGTCAAACTCATAGTGAACCCTAAGAAACAAACCAACTAGTTGTTGAAAATACAAGAATGAACCTCTCTGCATCTCACCTTTCAGAGTCAAAAGAAGGCTGATCTATTTTCGTCGTTTCTTCTCATTTGCTACGACGAAAATAGATCAGTCTTGCTGTTGTAAGAGGCAAGAAATATTTGGATGCTTCCACATGAGTGGTATCAAATCTATCTTTTATATTTATGAATGAATATTAATGCTAGTGACCAAACTTTTAATTTAACCTTTTTATATATGCTAACTAGCTTGGAACCTACGCTTTAGAAAGCTAAATTTTTCTTTTTATTATGTAGTATGGCTATCAAAGTAACAGTTTTTACGCCCATACTTATAAAAAAAAATACCTAGTCTTTGTCATAGAGATCATAATATAGTCCTCAAACATTTTTCCTCCCTCTCGACAAATTAAAACCCATACCCGAATCACACTTTACAATTCAAATTCGAAAGGAACATAAGAAGGTACCTCCATCTTGAGAAAGATCAAGAAGGAAGTTTGATAACACCTAAATTGGTGTTGTTTCTCCTATCTAGGCTTTTGTGTGTTAAATCAGGAAGTCTAGGCCACCTTGGAAGCTAGTTTATGCCAAAATGTGTTCCTAGTGATCGATCATGAGTTTTGGCATGAGTTAGGTTGTGATGAACGTTTTTATGGAGAAATTACCCCCACTTCATCGTATTTTATGCTTGCTTGATGTTTGAGATGATATTCCAAGCCTTATACTCATCTACAATCGATTAGGGATCGGTTTAGGGTTCGTTCGCGAACATTTGCATTGCATATGATTATGGAAGGGAGAAATTTCACAGGTCACAGTCATGACCTACAGGCTGTGATGCACCCTCTGAATTTTGATACAGAAATGGACAGAAAGTTTCACATCCAGTATCACGACCAAGGAGGATTTCAACAGCGAGAAAGATCATAATCACGATTTCCTAATCACGACCGTTATATGAAGATCAAGGTCGCGATCTTGGTGCTTGTGAACAAAGACAAGGCATGGAGTTTTAGGCGATTCGATGATATTTTACACAACACGACCAAGGTCAGAGATGGATGTCGTGACCACCCCTCAGGTCATGCTCATAGGCCATGAAGTAGGGATGGCAATGGGTCCAGAACAGGTCGGGTAGTGCAATACCCGGACCTGCCCTGCCAATTTGATTTTCGCCCCGCTCCGCCCCACGACCTGTCACGGATCTTGATATTCTGACCCACGCCCTGCCCTGTACGGGCCGGGTCAAACCCGCCCTGCCCCATTCTTCCATACAATGAAACATATATGCAATGGAACCATTTACAGTTCACCATTCACCACCATTTTCAAACACGTGCAAAAATCTAGAACCACTAAAGAAACTTCAACTCAACTCAACATGTAAAAGAGTACTTGAAAATTTGGAACAACTAATTGTTCAAGACTAAAACAAAAAGAAAAAACAGAAAATCAGCTTGATGCATCAGCTTTCAAGTTAAATGCTAATATCTCCCCAAAACTTAAACTAGATAGAGTATATCAGCCTACTGCAAACTGCATCTTCATTCACCATAAATCCACATCAAATTATAACAATAGAATTAAGCACTTCATATTCAAGCTGCTGCAGTCTGCAAACTCCAGAATTTAACTTCAAAGTTCAAATTTCACTTCTGTAGGCTGCATCACTATTGGTGCAAGCTGCTGCAATCTGCAAAATCCATTATATAAGTTCCTTAAGACCTTCAGTCTGCAGACTTCAAACTCCAACACCACTTGCTCAAGCTGTTCCAGTCTGCAAGTTTCATTAAAAGCAACATCAACCAGTCAGTTTTGGACTATACTAAGTAAGCATATCAAGCTATATTGGTCTCTTTGTTCTAGACATGTCTATGATAATAAGCAATCAATGAATAATATGGTTTTAAACCAACACAGATAGAACAAAAACACAACAGGAAAGCTTAACTAAATAGTAAATACATGCATGTGACAAAATAAAAACAGCAGAAAAGCTGTAATAAACTAACTGAATGCATTTAATTTTACTTCTAATAAAGAGAAGCAAAAACACAGGAAAGCACAACACTACAACATGTACTAACATGTAACACATAACAGCTAAACTAAACAAATACAGTAGCATCACAATATAAAATTTTAGAAACATACCAGTATAGCAAGATAATGAACAAACCAGTATAACTTACCTCAAGTTCCTCAGCTGTGTCTTCTAGCTCATCCTCTGAATCATCCAAAACTGTTGAAAGTGAGTGCCTTTTTGATGGATCCCCTGTATCATAATGAAAATAGTTAAATATATGTTGAACAGACTATTGATATGATACTAATAATGATTAATAAAACTACAAGTTACCTTTTGAACTTGCCAATAACCAATTTTGCGCACACATTAGGGCTTCTACGGTCTCTGGGGCAAGCCTACTGCGATGAGGGCCAATGACCCTCCCACTTGTGCTAAAAGCTGACTCTGAAGCTACAGTAGAAGCTGGAATAGAGAGAAAATCTCTAGCAACCTTGTGCAAGACAGGATATTTTCCCTTATTTGATTTCCACCAACTCAACACATCTAAATCAGATGCATCTCTTATAATTCCATCATCCAAATAAGCATCGAGTTCCGATCTCTCAGGCTGTTTCCTTTTCTTTTGGGCAGCATAAGCATCAAATCTAAAACAAAATGACACTTGACTGCCCTTTGAGGATTGCACACTCTGACCATCAGTATTCATTTCTTCCTCTTCCTTTTCTTTCTTCTCATACTCCACAATCAATCGACGACATACCCCAACTATCCTCTCTATCTCAATTGAGCTACTATCGTGATAAATATGAGGAAAGTAGCATTTGAATACCTCAGTCTTGTATCTTGGATCAAAAACGGCAGCCACCCCCATCAAGATATGCACCTCTGACCAATACTTATCATATTTTTCTATCATTTCCAAGGACATCAACTCAATGACTTCAATACCACAATCAACCCATTGTTTCAAAGCCAGCTTAATCTCACAAATAATAGGAAAGAACAAGTTTGCAGTAGGATACTTCGTGCCAGAGAAAACTTGAGTGGCCTTATGGAATATATCAAGCTTATCACAGATTTCCTTAGTCAACTTCCACTCAGATTCAGTTGGCAAGCATTTATATTTTGGTTCAAGATTCTTCATCCTAGCAAAAACCTCTTTATATTTGAGAGCAGTAGCTAGCATCATGTAAGTTGAATTCCAACGTGTATCGCAATCAAGGATTAGCTTCTTAGAAAACTTAGTACGTAATTGACGAGCAGCAATCACAAACCTCTCCCATCTTTTTGGCGTCCCCAACCAGAATTGGACACTACTTCGAATCTTCTCAATTGCCGGCTCAATCACCTTCAGCCCATTTTTCACAATCAAATTCAGTATATGTGCTGAACATCGCATATGAATCATCATACCTCCAAGTTGAAGAGACTCAAATGGAAGTTTCTCCAACAATTGCGACATCATTGCATCATTAGTTGAGCAATTATCCACTGTGATAGCAGATAACTTGCTGTCAACATTCCATTGCGTCATACAATCCCACAATGCTTCGGCAAGAACATCACTGGTATGTGGTGCTGGCAAATATATGAACCTGCATAGGTTAGAGATAAGTAGAAAAATTAGAAATATGTTGTACAACAGTAGCTTAATAAGCAGATTTGGCAATACATGCAGAATTGGAAGAATAGTGCAGCAAGCAACTACTAACTAATAATCTACAAATAAGAACAGAATCAAAGAAAGCAACAATCATAGTATATTACCCAATGATTCGACTTTGTAGCTTCCAATTATTGTCGACATAATGAGCTGTGACGACCATGAATCCTTTCTTTTGCGAAGTTGATGTCCACATATCAGTCGTTAAGGCCACACGACCTTCATTTTTGTCCAGAAGTTGCATCATCGCGTCTCTTTCAAGGTCATAGATTGTGAGACAGTCCTTCTTGATGGTGTTTCTACATACCATCTTGAACAACGGGTTCAAGCTTGCAACAAAACTCCTAAAACCTTCATGATCAACAATAGAAAGAGAGTACTCATGCTTTATAATCGCCTTTGCAAGCTCTTTCCGAGAATTTTGCTGATCAAAGTTGAATGGGGAAAGCTGAAATTTCTCCTTGTTGGAATTGGCTTGTAAGAGCTGCTGCCTTATATCCACAGGAACCTTGCGTTTGGGGCATCTTTCATAATGCTTCTTCAGATGGCTTGTTCCCTGCTTCGGATCTCCAACCATTAAGCGCTTGCAGTATTTGCATTTTGCCTTCTTAACCTTGTTAACTTCCAGTTTGTCATAATGAGCCCACCATTCAGAATAGACTTTCCCTTCATTCCCGCCTTTGGCATTGTTAGCCACCTCATTGCCATCATTATCGTTGGTTCCATTTCCAAACTGATTCTGCACCTCTACTGCAACAGGCATTTGGGATGGGCCTGCTTGTGTGCCATTGGGGTCAGAGCTAGGTTGAATTACAGAAGGATCATATGACTTTTGATTCAAATCTCCAGCTTCTTGATCCATTTATCTCACAATCTACATAAATAACACATAACATCAAAACTTTATGAGGATAAACGTAATGAGAAGTATCCATTAAAAATAATAAAACAAGGTAAGTTAAGCACTCAAGACTTCCTTGAAACCAAACGTTTTATTGAATCTTAGTAAACCCTAAACTTCTTCCCCATTAGCAAAAGTAAAAGAAAAGATCTGAAAGTGGGAGAAGTTTCAGGAAGTGAGGGTATTAGTGAGATCATTGAAAGAGTATTATAATCGGCTCCCTACATCCATATGGGATGCGCATGTGCTGCTGTTCAGAAATCCAAAATGGAAGGGCAAATTCAATCAACATCCAAATTATCAAAAGGAATCGATTTCTTACCTGTTGAATCTCTCGGCTTGGATCTATGGAGAAGGAGAAGTGCACAAGGAGAATATCTATCAGTCATCCTTGATTTATTCTCTGGGGGCTGTGCTGTTAACATTTCAATTGGATCAGAAGACGAGGCGTTGGCTAGAGCTCGACCAATAGAGTTTGAGAGGGATTAATATGATTAGGGATTTGGGAATTGGGAACTTGTTGAGAAATCGAAGCGTCAAAGGTTTCAAGCGTGGGTGCTGGGTGGGAGAGAAGGGAGAGTTGTGCGTGTATAGAGATTAGAGAGGTAGTCCTATCGTCGATTTGCCGGGGTGGGTAATTGATAGAGTAGATGCGGGGCGGGGCGGGGACGGGTCGGGGTGGGCTTGGTACCCGGATCTGGCCTGGATTGTGACGGGTCGGGCCAAGACCCGCCCCGTTTGTTCACGGGTCGGGTTTGACCTGCCCCAAAACAGGGTGGGTCGGGCCAAACCCGTCGGGGCGGGCCGGTTTTGCCATCCCTGCCATGAAGTGCACTAAAAACCTTTATAAAACCCTCTAGAGGGAGAAATTAGTGCGAGAAACACCTTAGAGGAGCTAAGGAAAGAATAATTCATCCAAGATAACGAGAATAAGATGATTTCAAGCTTTCCTCTCTCTAGTCTACATTTTCTTTCTCTCTATGACTTGAACCACTAAGGTTGTGTAGGAGCCATTAATTCTAGAATGTAGGTAGGTATTACTAATTGAATGTGACCTAGCCATGATTTCTATCCATCTATGCTTGTTTGGTGTTTATCAATTTATTGCTTCAAGAGAGGTGGCTATTGACTTTTTCTTGACCAGGGTTGAGGTGATCATCCCCTTAGGTTAGGGCAGAGCACCCATCAAACATTGTGGGATTTGGATTGCGTGAACATCATGTCGAAGTTCCCTTTGAATAGGGATTATTCCCAATTGAAATTTGAACCTTACAACTCTAGGTACCTACCTAGTTGCATGACCATTGACTGTTAATCTCGTGTAGTATTCTAACAATGAAGATGAGATACAATCAAATTATAAATCCTAAAAATGTCTGAGGTTGTATTCCACAAGGCTTCTAATGCATAACTACTCACATCTAACTACTCACATCTAACTACTCATATCTCGACTCACATAGTCAATGAAAGATAGATATATTTGGTCAATTTTCTATTTTCTATTTTCTATAGGCAAGGAACATTAAGATACGTTATTGAGGAGAAAAGATCCCTCAATATAAACATACATCTCAATGATTCATCTATTGAATAACTCTTTGCCTTCTATTAAAGCATTGGAAAAGAAATGTAGCACAAAAGGTAAAAAACATCATCAATTCACTCATAATTATAATTCAACTTCTAAAAGTATCTTTGACATCATATATGCACCTGTACACTTAAGTGGAAAAATGTAATCAAAGAGGGAGCATATATGGAGAGAACATGGCATAGTCAACATAAACGACATTCATTCTCCATAAATAAGCCTAACTCAGTCATTCAAGGCTCAATTATAAACATACAAGTTCAAATGTGAAGCATAGGATCAAAAGAATTGAAAAATATGTGATCGGGGAATTTCTTTGAACATTGGTGGGCGTACTTGAAGAACATAAAAAAATCATGCGCAAATGACCCACTAAGGTCTCCCAATACACGTAAGACATCATTAAAGCATAAACATCAATCCTGTTGCACAAAGAATTCATGACATAGCCTAAAATAGTAGCAAAGTTCACATTGCACTCAAATGCATTTTGACCTAGCTAAGGTACCAAAGTGATAGAAAAAATGAAAATGGATAATAGTATCTAAGCTTGCTTGGAGACATGTTATTAATCCAAGAGATTAAGCAATACTTCAATAAATGATAATTAAAAATTAGGTGAGATGAAGTATGGTCAAAAGGTTCAAAAGAGCTTTGGAAACATGGTTTTTTAGATTTAAAAGTCATTGGGGAAGAGAGCACAAGAATGACAGGTGCACCTCCCCTTAAATAGGTGCGAGCAAGATCGCGGCCTGGGGTCAAGAGATCTCGGCCGCGATCTTTGGCTTCGCAATCGTTATCTTGTTTCTTATAGGCAAAAATCAAATTTTCACCACACCTAGGGATTGCAAACATCAAAATGCAATATTCATTTTAAAAATTGAGACGTGGCAAGGGCTAAGGTCCATCATTCATCATCAAAGCTAATCAGTCTCTAACTTTAACAATTTGTTCAAAAGAAAAAGAGAAAGATATGCAACCCGAAATTGTTGGGTTGCCTTCCAACTAGCTCGTCTTTGAAGTCTTTTTGTCGGACTTTACCTTGAGAGAGCTAAGTGAGAGGAGCTTCATCCTCCACCCTTGGTGCTCCATAGTAGTCAAACTTGTGGTGAAGTCCAAGGTGGAGACCATGAAGTCTCTCAGCCGTCTCGCGTGGATAGTGACTCAAAGCATCATTCGGAAGGTTGATGATGATTGTAGAAACCAAGCTTCCTTACTTTGACATCTTAATCCGTGAGTGGCTTGTAGCACTCCCCATACTCTTCTTTTTTCCTTAATGGAGGCTAGCTTGCTTGCATCATTCTTCTTCATTTTATCCCGCGTCTTGGCTTTAGGATACCTTGTCTCAAGTTCAAACTTTTGAAGCTTCCTCCATTCTAACTCGCCATGATGGGAATTGGGAAATGAGAAGCAACTCTTGCATCTTCTTGTTGTGGGGAGAACTAGTCTCTCCTAACTCCTTCGTAGGCTTCCTTGAGTTGTTTTTCTCTTCACTCTCTTTATCCTTTGGATCTTCATAAGATACAATATTGAACCATTCAATCTCGAGACTAGAAGGTGGTAGTGTTGGAGGCGTGACTGGATCACAATCTTTCTCCACACCTTCCCATTTATACTTGTGGAAGTTGGGGAGTGGAGTAATCTTGTATCAGATCTCCTCCTCGCCAAACCTTAGTATGATTCGGCTTTTTCTAACATCAATGATTCTCCTTGCCATGGCCAAGAACGGTCTTCCAAGAATGATCGAGGCATCAACACATCCTTCCGTGTCTAGAATGACAAAGTCCATCGGGTAAATGAAATGATCACATCTTACCAAGACATTCTCGACTATGCCGCAAGGCATAGCAATGGATTGGTTAGCTAGCTCGATTCTCATGCTTGTTGGAGTGAGTGGCCCAAGTCCAAGCTCCTTGTAAATCCTTGTAGGCATAATATTGATGCTCGAGAGTATCATTCGTATATTTAGGAATTCCATAACCATCTCCAAGAAAAGAACGATTACCTTAAGTTGCTTGAGAGTATCCTTCCATTGAGCACAATCACGATTTAGGTCACTTTCGAACAAACTCTTGGGATAAGGTGCCTTTGCAATGTATTCGGATAATTGAGACTTCTAAGGAATATCTTCATTCTTGATATTGATCTTAGTGGGGGCTATCACTTCCTATTCAACAAGCTTCTCTTTGAACCACCCTCAAGGGTGCATAGAGTGTTCGGCTCGTAACTTCCTTTAATGGTCGGCCACTCCATAGAGTTACCGCATGACATTCTTCTTTTGTGTTAGTTTCCGTGTTGCTCGGTAAAGCTCCTTGAGGTCTTGCCACTAGAGACTGAGCCATAGAGCTCAATTGTGCTTCAAGATTTTGAAGTGTTGCTTGATGATCTTTTGACCAACCTCCAAGGTTAAAAACTTTTTTTGCAGCATTCTCCACAAACCTATCACTCGTGTCAAACCTCCTTGTGGCAGTGTTGATGAATGGTCCCACCATATCTTCAAGCTTTGTCAAGCGATTATCCAAAGGTCGGCTTTGATCCGAGTAGGGACCTTGGTTTGAAGATGGGTTGGATCTTTGAAATGGAGCTTGCATCGGTGCTTGCCCTTGAACACTAGGAGGTTTCCTATCCGATGGTGAAGACCATATGAATAGGATGATTTCTTCATCCCGGATTGTAGGTTGCACTATATGGATTATTGCATGTTTGTTGACCTTCAACAAAGTTAGCTTGCTCATGTTGAATCGATGTTTCCACCATTGCTTTTCAATTTTCCAAATTATGATTGATGTTTCCACACCAATTGCACTTTATCAATTTTTTACCATTACTCTTCATAGTTGATGCGACAAGATCAATCTTCTTTATTAATTCTTGAAGATGAGCCGTCAATGAGGATGGTTCTTCAATTTGTAGCACATTGCCCTTTGCTTTCCTCGTCTTGTATCACCTTAATCATAGCTATTGAGAGCCATTTCTTCAATTAACCTTTGTAATTAGCCTACTTCCTTGTTCATAATAGCTCATCCACTAGCGGCATCAATCAAATTTCGATACTCACGAGTTAACCCATTATAGAAGCTCTCCACTTGTAGCCAATTGGCTATGACGTGTTGCAGGTAGTTAAGAAAGAGTGAAGTGAATCTTTCCCAAACTTTGAATAATGGCTCGTCTTCCTCTTGTCTGAACATTTGGATTTCACTTCTCGTCGATGTCGTCTTTGAAGGTGAGATGTATCTTGCAAAGAACATATCACACAAATCCACCCAAGAGGTAATAGAATGATGTGGATAGTTATTCAACCACTACTTTGCCGCTTCACTTAAGGTAAGGGAAAAGCTTTAGTCGAATTGCCTATTGAGGAATTTCTTTTACCTTGATACCATCTCTAAGCCCATAAAATTCTTTAATGTGAGCATGTGCATCTTCACTCATCAACTCGTGGAATTGAACCGCATTTTGAAGCATAAAAATCATCCCCGACTAGATCTCATTTTGTTGTTGGGTGTTATAAAAAAACAAAAACAAACTAAAGCAATAGAAATCCACAAAGGATAGAATATATCTATCTATTGACGTCCACTACCTCATGGTCCTTGCCTTGATAAGAAGTTATCAAAATTATGATCAAACTTGTTCATCCAAGCTCAAATCTCCTCCAGCTACTCTCTATAATCTTGCTCGAAGACATACCTATGTTGCTCATTAATAATCTGGTAATCGAGAAGGTTTGCTTTCTGTCTTTGCATGACTTCCCTCAAGACTGATATCTCAGATCCATAGTCCTGATACTGTGGTGGTGGTGCTGAGAAAGATTGACCAGCTTCTTGTCTTTGTAGCTCTTAAGTTCTATGAAGTTGCACTTCTGGCCTTCCTGCTTGCATCCATGCATCTTGGCTAGGAAAAAAATCTTTGGCTTGGTCGATTCCTACTGCTGCCAGCCTCTCAACTTCGAAGATATAAGTTGGATGTTGGAAAATTTGTCCACGAGTCTGCTTAGTGTCCTAGAGAGAAATGATCGTA